CCCACTGGAGATACTTCGAAGGTTTTGACATTGGAAATGTGCCGTGAGAACATTGAAGTCAATTTAAACTCAGGTTCGGGGCATCGCCATGTGGAGCCCAATTCTCCAACCCCTGCCTGACCCAAGCTGGGGCTTATAGGTATAAGTTATCGTCGAATGATACCTCTACAGAGCTTGTTGTTGTTATGCTCCAGGTAGCATGTTTGGAAAAAAAAAGAAGTCCATCGGCTTATTGTCAGGTAGTATTTTATAAAAGCCCAATTGTGATCGACTACCAACTTGAAGGCTAGGAACAGGCTCCCCGAGCAGGATCAGATGTTTGAATTTTAACATGGTATTTTATTTATATCATCTTCGTCATCGAATACTTGGCTTTGCATTCCCAACCATATCGGAATTCTCAGTTTCTGGGATGCGAAGGTCCAAGAAATTATAAGTTTGCTGCAGCATAAGTATAGGTTGAGTGGAAAATTGCAATGTCATACATATTTCCAGAAAAGTAGGTGGGGATTGGGGGGAAAGCTTCCATAATTCGCAGCCCCAAACAGCCGATTTTGTAGCTAATCAGAACAAGACAAAGATTCTAGGGATGTTTGAGTGATTTGGGCCGTGTTGGAACTTGGAAGGTACTTTAAGATGTTCAAAGTGCGCCACCACTTGGAAGTTGGACCCAACGTGAACATAGTATATAGTTACATAGACATTGTTATAGACATTGTATTTACAGAGCCGAAATAATTCGCTACCAGATTAACTGCTATAGCCAGTTTTCAATTGCTTTTCCGGCTATGTGCAGGGTATCGGCAGCCTGTTGGGCTGATTAGTAAATAGCTTTGGGGTAACTAGAGATGAACAACAAAGTCCTTGGAACCTTCGATGAGTCCAGTAACTTATAAACCCGCAAAGCATCAATAACATAGCAGCCATAAATATCTCCCATCTGATGATCGCATTTCCTCACCAATGGCTCTCCCGTTCTCGTCCATCATGCCGCCATTCATGTCACGATTAATGCGCCACTTCTCCACCACTACCCCCTCTCTCCCAGTGACACCAGAATCACTTGCAGCCCGCGGCTTTCCCGAAAACGCCCAAGTAGCCACGATCGCTGCTGGTTGTTTCTGGGGCGTGGAACACCTCTACCGGCAAAATTTCGGTAGCGGAAAGGGGCTCCTAGATGCCAAAGTTGGATATTGCGGTGGGGATACGACGCATCCGACTTATCGCAGTGTTTGCACTGGGGAAACTGGCCGTACGTCCTTGAAACGAAACATGCCCTCCCCCCGCGCCTGGCCTTCCCCACCTCCAAAAGAGATACACACCTTAACAAGATCCCTTCATCTCTAACTATTCCATGCAGACGCCGAAGCCCTTAGAATAATTTTCGACCCGTCTCTTGTTACGTTTCGCCAACTCATCGAATTCTTCTTCCGCATGCATGACCCCACCACCCTGAACCGACAAGGTGGAGATGTAGGGACACAATATCGCAGTGCAATATTCACACACGGCGAGGAGCAGCAGAAAATCGCCGAGGAGATCAAAGAATTAGTGGCTAAGGAGTGGTGGAAGCGGCGCGTTACGACCCTCGTTGTTCCGGCGGACCAATGGTGGGATGCGGAAGATTATCACCAGCTATATTTGGACAAACATCCTGGTGGATATGAGTGTCCCGCTCAGTGAGTTTTCCCTTTGCTCTCTCCCCTCCCTCTCTCCCCTCCCTCTTTTTCCCCTCCCCGCTTCTGCTCCACGCCTGCGCCTAGCCGACCGCGTACTCCCACTCAGAACCTAAACCAAAGTTCCACGGCGGCCATGTTTGCATCGTATTCGTTTTTTGATGGTGATGAGGAATGCTAAGAAATTGCTGGTGATGTGCAGTTTTGTGAGAAAGTTCCCTCCCTTGTCTAAATGAATGGCCGAACCTAAGTGGGGAGGTTCTATACGTGGGGGGACGTTTTGGAGACAAGGCAATGCATGCGCGAAGCATTATGAACTCTTGGGACCTCCTCTTTTTAAAATAAATTTAACTTGGATAATTTATGAATTGAGTTATTGTATGATATTTTTATACTGTAGTCGGCTTCCGCTTGCTCTCCCCCACCCCCTCGCGCGCTCTCTCTCTTTTACTTTTTGTGTGCTTATCGAAACGCCACCCCTTGATATGAAATAGACCCATGCAGCACGATCGGAGTGGCTATAAATTAATACAGTTTATGGCATCTTCTATTCTCAACCGTTTTATATTCGATTATTCTCTTGCCCACTTGCACATAATGACTGACCTTCCCCTCCCTAAGATGACTTGGCTCCGTCCACTCGGAATTTGACTGTTGGATGCCCATGACATCCAGTTCGCGACAAAAACAATTCATGAGGTGGACCTCCGACTTCGGCTGCGTCTAGCGCGTGGGAGAGATGCAGCAACCAATGCGTAATCCATGTAGATCAATTCATCCCTTCGTAGATACGAGGCGAGTTTCGGTCCAGATGTCGTCCAAGGCGAAGAGACAAAAAATGGGAAAATTTTTCAAAAAGCACCATGCTGCCATTCCCTGGTATCTTCCATGCTATATGTAGGGACATTGCATGTAATTCAATATGACGGCGACAGGGGCAGTTGATGATATTGATGGGTATAATCTGCTTCCCAATATCTCAAAGTGATAAGTCATAAGATGGTCATACCAACACGATAAGCTCATTCTCCACCACAGAACGCTGGTGGTCTAGGCCTTCTCTCCTCCTCGTCTTTCCTCCTCCACACAAACCCCACACAGACAACAACCCCGCGCGGTGATGTTCCTCTTACCCACCTGCATTTCTCTGCTGCACCTGGTTACACACGGATCACAGCGGTCCATGAGCTAACAATCCCATCTGACACCAGACGAGCGAGAAGTTGAAATAACGATCAATTAGATACTGAGTGTTGGATGCAAGCAGAACCCCGCCTAGAAAGCCCAAAAATCAGACGACAGCACCTCCAACCACGGGATAGCACATAGAATTCAATCTAGAAACTGTGGCTCTAGGTCATTGGAACATTTTACCTCACACTGGTCGAGCCTACCCCGAATTATCCGTGTATAACCTTACCTTCCCTGGTCCACTCGCCCGGTTCCGCCGGCTCAGCCAATCTCCTGCCTTCGCAATCTGTGCCTTGAATCCTGTGATTCCGTGCTTTCCACTTGCTTCGTGATAATGCATGCCAGATGGTATTGTGACCCAGGAGGATAAAATGCCAGCAGGGCAAGGCTGTGGTATGAGTGCACAGGTACTGTTCTATCCACTCCACCGTACATAACTGAACCGCATCCGACGCCGTTGCTCCTGAATCGATTTGTAGAGTGTGAGGTTCTTGCTCTTATTTTCTTATATGTCCTACATGCCCCTATCTGGTCTACCACAAGTATCGTCGCCGCCGTTGTCGTCGTTGTTGTTGTTGTGCATCTCGCTAACAGCTTACCTTCTCCCCTTCAGCTACAAGGTATAATATTGCTGCGATCTTTAATCTTTAGGCAGATAACGCGATATTTTTTTTGATCCAGCTTTCCCTTCGTATCATTTGGGAGGGTAAGACGATTTTGGTATATAGTCAGAGTCTTTTATAAAGGACCTAGGAAACAAAGCGGAGTGACGAAATGCGTAAGCAGCTCGCCTTTAAGACCACCACTCCATATTTCGTTCATGCTATACACCAGACTTCCGTTAAACCCCCTACCATATGGAGCCATCATGGGGTTAGATGCTCTCACCATGGCGCTGCCCAACAGCCCGAACGCCCAGTTCCTGCAACTGGAGGGCCGTCGGCAGCTCCTAGGTCAACGAGACCCTTTGCCACACTGAATTCCTCGATACCGTTTACAAACCCGCCGACAGCTCCTCCATTGTCTATTTTGCCCTTGTCCACGATACTTCGATCTCTCTTCGTTACCACCATCTCCTCCTCACCTCTTCTCTTCACACCATCCTTGGCTTTCTTGTCAGTCGTGGCGAACCCTGAGTCCACATTTCTAAATCCTGATCGTAACCCTATAATAAAGCTGATCATGGGACAGACGTTGTACGCACAATTCTGTGCAGGAGAGACACCAGCAGAGGCCAAAGTGAATATCCAAAAGTTAAAGCAGATCGGATATTCTGGTGTCATATTAGGGTATGCGCGGGAAATCGTGATGGATGAGAACGAGACCCGTGCTCTTGCTCAATTAACCGATACAGAAGAAGCAGCGGAAAGCAAGGCTCAAGCCATTGCTGATATCACAGCTTGGAAGAAAGGAACCCTTGCCACAGTCGATCTAGCAGATGATGGGGATTTCGTTGCATTGAAATTCACAGGAGCCGGGAAAGGGTCGGTCCAACAGCTGTTGCGCAGATCCGCACCATCACCAGCCCTTAGAAAAGCGATCATCGAAATTTGCGAGCGGGCTAAAGCTCGCAATGTCAGGTTATTGTTTGATGCTGAACAGCAAGCAGTCCAACCAGCCATTGACGATTGGACTCTTGAATTCCAGCGAATATATAATAAGGGACTGGACCAGCGAGCTGTGATATACGGGACATATCAGGCATATCTCCGTTCTACCCCAGCAACTCTCTCACAGCATCTCGCCATCGCGCAGGCGGAGGGATTCGCACTGGGCGTCAAGCTCGTCCGGGGTGCATATCTAGGCAGCGAGCCGCGCCATCTAATCTGGGACACAAAGCAAGAAACCGACAACACATACGACGGCATTGCCGAATCGTTGATTAAGCAACAATACGGAGACGTTCTTAAACCCCATCATTATTTGCCATCATCCGGGGGCACAAGGATAACCAGCGCCCAGAGGAAAGAGCAGCAGTACCCCCAATTCCCCAAAGTCGATCTCCTCCTAGCCTCGCACAACCGCGTCTCTGTTGAACGAGCCAAGAAGCTTCGAGACGAACAGAAGCGCACCACTGGGGCAAATCAGATCGAAATGGCCTATGGCCAGCTGTTCGGCATGGCTGATGACATCAGCTGCCAGCTGGTGCAGGCGGGGAAGTGCGCTCGCGAACAGCAGGCGGAAGGGGTAATGGTGGATGTGGAGGCGCCAAAGATATGCAAGTACCTCGTGTGGGGCACAGTGGGCGAGTGTGCGCTGTATTTGCTTCGGAGGGCGCAGGAGAATAGAGATGCAGCGTCCAGGACGGAGGACACTAGGAAGGCCATGGCGAAGGAGCTGCGAAGGCGATTGGTGGGTGGTTCTTACGGAAATTGTTAGTCGATCCGATCCAATGGGGGAATTTTTCTCGTTTCTATTTTTTTTTTTTATTTTTTTTTTCTCCTCCTTGGTTGGTTAATGATTTTTGCCGTTTTGGGTTATTGTTTGATCGCGGGCACATCTCTTTTTGGAGTGCAAGTTCACAAATATACCTTTTAAGCAGGTAGATTTGGCATTAAGGAACATTATTCCTGTAAACATTTTTCAATCAGTGGGTGAGTAGTTGATGTTCACTTTTCTGGGGCAGCGGGAGGAACATTCCACATCAGAGTTAAGTGATGTTAACTAACTAGTTATGTCAAAAGAGATTAATGGAATGCATACCGTATTAATTAATCTGTTGCTATTTTTGCTTTGCATTGCCAGCTCCTCTCTTTCTTTTCTCTTCATTATATATAACTCAGCCAGTGGATATTTCCCGTGCCATGCAGGAAGCTTGTCGTTACCACTTGGTTCCAATTTCTTGTTTTTTTTTTTTTTTTTTTTTTTTTTTTTTTTCCCTTTGGGCTTCTTTTCCAGCGGGACGTTGTAAGTTGACATAACTATTTAAATTAACTTAGCTGCAACAAGTTTCTTGCTTTCGGAAACATTTCCACAAAAAGCTTTTGCGAAAATGCTTTGAACGTAGCTAGGCAGGTTCTGTACTGTACATTCATTCAGGCAACAAGTGGAAAAGGTCAAATATAACCATAAGAAAGTTAGCTTTCTTTGCTTTAACGATGGTATTGGGGTTTTTTTGTCTTGAGGATGGCTGGAGCTGGCTGTCAGACATAGGATGGACAACAATAAAAAGTCCGCAATAGAACGAAGCCTGGCATAATTCCCTGGAATAAAAATTATCTTTATTCTCCCCCTGGCTCCCCTCTCAACTTGCCTGGGGAATGTTTTTTTATTTTTATTTTATTTTATTTTATTTTTAGTCTGGTGTTTTGAAGAAATTCTCCAGAATTGATAATGAGGATGTCAAAGAGAAAGAAAGAAAGTGAATGAGATGGAGTCAGGAACTCATTTATTATATGCAGCAGATTGCTGCACCACACCACCCACAGAAGTGTATC